ACAACCTTGACGAATGGAGCGAGACAATACGAAAGGCTCCGACCTTACCCCATTCACTTCCACCAGCGCACCGGGGTCGCATACAAGAGCCGGATCCAGGGCGAAAGTCGGCTCCGAAACCGGCCGCCGACAGGACAGCCTCCAGAAACCGATGGTCAACCCTATCGAAGGCCTTGGACTGATCTAAATTGATCAGCGCGGCTTCACTGTCGACTTGTTCTAAGATCAAGCGTACCATATGAAGGTTATCCTGAATCGTCCTGCCCTTCACAGCACAAGTCTGTTCGGGGCCAATCAGACGAGACAGGACAAGCTGCAAACGGTTGGCTAAGATCTTCGCCAAAATCTTTAAGTCAGTATTTAACATCGTCAAAGGGCGAAAGTTCCTAACCCATCCCCACCGTTCTTGTCCTTACGCAACAACCGTCACACCCCTGGTGAAGCGTCGAGGTAAAGACCCTGCCTCATCCAGTGGTTGTAAATCAGCTGCAGCAAAGGAACAAAACGGGCGACAGCCTCAAGTACACTTCGTAGGGAAGTCCATCTAGTCCCGGAGACTTATCCAGGCCAACCTGCTTCAGCGCATCCCAGATTTCCGACTCTGTTATGGGACCCTCGCACCTAGCCGCTTCAGCTGCCTCAAGGCAGGGAAAGTCAGCCAAATAGGCATCGAACTGAGCAGAGCTCAGACCGGGCTCCCTGGTGAAAAGATCCTGGAATAAAGCCGAAAGGCCTCGCATATGCCCGCGCTTGTAGTCACGGTCCGCTTATCCGGCAATGTGACGCACGCTATATGTCGCTTAGCCGCGTTCCGATTTTCCTCTGCACGCAATTCTGCGGCCATATTCGTCGCCTCAGAAGACATTCTCTTTAGCCTAGCCCTAACTACCAGAGCTTGATCCTTCTTGATAAGCAAGGAGGCCAACTCTGCCTTAGCTAAGACTATGTCCCCCTAACACGGGATTTGACGGCCCGATCAACTTTATCTTCTAATGCCGTTTGCGCCGCTAGTCTATCTAGATTGAGTCGACGACTAAAATCGGCAGCAAACGTTCTAATTTTGGTTTTTAATTTTCCCCACCAGGCGTTTCCCACAACCGCCCCGTCAATTCCCTCTGAATCATTAGTAGCAGCTGGTCCCGAAAACCTGTTCACCGAAAAGTGAACAGTTAAATTTCAGTAACCAGCCAATCTAACCTTAACAAACATCTAAGTTTACACGGACCCGGACAAGCCTATGATCCGTGTAAACTATATAATGGAAACTTGGACACTCTAAGAGCCCTACGTCGACTCTCTAACTAACACTCGGTCCAGATAGCTCGCAAGCGAGCCACTGGCCAGTTGCCACCAGTTGTCCAAGTCCATGCTACCTCCTGAGGTGCTCATTCCGGTACTTATCGACAAGATCAAACCTGTCGATAAAGTCCCGAAATGCCTTCACATCAGGATTGTTAGTACCCGGTTTTTTTTTACCTATACGATCTATATCGGGGTCAAGGACGGCATTCCAATCCCCCGCTAAGACTACCCGACGAGAAGTCGTCAAAAACAGCTCGATCTGCCGAAACAAAGCAGGCCGCTCAGCATAACATTGGGCGCATAAACCCCAATGAGACGTAAAGCCTTATCCTTTATAGTAACATCCAGCACGCAAAGCCTGCCCGCCGGATCTGCGAAGACAAGGGAACATGCAGCCTCCAAAGACTTGCTCACTAGCCAAGAGACACCCCTCGAACGACCATCAAAACATGCTGAAAAAAGGGCGAACCCCTTAGACAGTATATCCTCACGGTCATGAGAAGAAAAACGGGTCTCTTGCACACAACAAACATTCACCCCCGAGGCGCTGAAGGTCACGAGGAGAGCCTCGCCCTGCGAGACTCGGACCTCAGGCCCCGCACATTTAACGTAGCTAACCAGAGAGACATGAGAAGTCCGATTAGGGTTGCTACCAGCATTAAACATGGCCGGGGTAGGATACCGACCGCGTCTCCCATAGACCCATGGCCCATCTCATTCTTGATGGTGCCGTCTTGGGAGATACCGCCGATATCCCAGGGAAGGTCAATTTAAGAGCTCTATACAGGGATGGGTGAACTAAAACAGGGGACCCTCCTGCACAGAACTGTTGTAACTTTTTTAATTTTTCGTTTTCGACTATGGCGATGGGCAAAGCCATCTTACAGGCATTTACGGCTTCTTCCACCATCGCCCAAGTCTGATTGGCCGCAGGTCCTGACCTAATAACTGTCAGGACCCTCTGGGCATTTAAGGAAGTTTTCGGCTCCTCGATATCAAGGTCAGCAAACTGTTTGATAAAGCAGGAACTTCAAATCTTTCACCCTGTTACTATAATCCCGGGCTCTTTCGGCCTGGGCAGGGAAATACGGCATACCTCCTCTCCTGTGTTAAAATAAATCTTTTTTTCTATCTTTTTTTTCTTCTTTTTGTGTTGGGCTTCTTTGCCGCTTGGGAGCAGGAGGAGGCATCTCAGCATTTTTGCCAGTGATTGCTTGGGGGTATGAAGGGGTGGGTTTTTTGTTTAACGGGGAAGGGTGGGAGTGTTCATGGGGGTATAAAGGATCTATACCTATAGGGGCTGGGATCCCTACTGGAGGGTTTGGCCTTTGATGGTGAAATAGCAGGCGATGAAGGGGTTGTTTCTTCGGAGAAGGGGCAGGTCTACTAGAGGACGTAGAAGGATTGGGTCTTTTCTTTCTGAATCCAGCCTCTTTTTAATTCTTTGAGTTTTCAGATTTTTCATAACCGGGGTCGAATCTCTTTGTTTTTCTTCAAATGATTCTTCCGAGGCCGGGGCATCGCCCTAACGTTGTTAGAGGGTGGGGCTGTATGTGCCTTTCTTCCTAGGGGCTTCAGGGGACTGAGGACCCGCTGTCCAGCACTTCCCTCTGGCCTTACCAGCAACCAGCCATTCCCCTCCCCTCTCCACAACTGCACCAGCAGGGGCGAAGGCTCTTTGGGGAATGTGGCTTTCGATGTTGCGCCGACCGGAGGATTAACCGACCCGGTCCCGGAGGCTGGTACGCCCATTACAGGCGAGGCGGAATTTAGAGACGCGGTCAGAGGGGATCTTGAGTAACTGGCGCTTGACTTCCAGAGGCCTTCTTCTCTGGGCAGGAGGAGGAGATGACCAGTCACTCCACCTCCAGCATACCGGTCTTCGACCCGTCACAATGACCGGTAATTTCAAGACGCCAACATCCAGACAGTTGGGGATGGAGCGAAGGCTTTCTCGTCCAACATGATGTCAAAGCTCCACCCCCTGCTCAGGCTATCACAGGAAGCTCCCAGAATTTCGCCATACTGAGAGAAGAACGCCGCGAGATGTTCCCCGATAACCTGAGGAGGGACCTCATACCGTTACCCTGGTCTTACGTCGGCCTTCGTACTCTGTACGCAGTATTATCTTTATTAATTAGCTCACGGCTAGCCGCGGCGACGCAATCTTCTGATGTGGGCAACAGTACGTCCCATGAAAAATTTAGCACCCTTAACTATTCTAAGGGCTTGAACGAAGGATTCCAATGCTTTTAACACTGTGTTTTCGTCGAGCGACAAATTTTGCGCGTACGCTTGTCCACGACGAAAACCGACACTATTCTTTTGTCAATTTTTTTTTTCAATTCTTGGGGGTCTTCAAAAAGTCCACCATCTACAACAAGGTGTGCGTAACTTTTGGCACGCTCAAGAACTCCGCTAAATTGATAATGCACTTAGGAGGGACGACCAACAAGAGGCGATTCCCCGGCCTCAGGCTCAGTTGCAGTTCATTTTTGGATTTTTCAGAATCATGGCCATTATTGGCCTCCATAGTTGAGTCATTTTTGTTGCCATTCTGAGCTTCCGTAGAAGTAAATTTTCATTTTATTGACTTTTTTCCCCAACAGATTCCACACTGCTAGGGAAGAGGTATTAAGAGCTGGAAACTCTTCCAAACTGTCTTTGTCCGGGGGGTCTTTTTGGTTGGGTTGAATAGGTGCTTTCGAATAGCCTTTTGGGCTTTTTTAATAGCCAAAAAGGAGGGTGGTTTTTTATCCTTTTTTTTCTCCATTTTTAAAAAATAAGAGGGAAGGGGAGGGGTAAATACGGGTGGGGAACCGCCTTATAGGCGGAGGGAGGGAGAGAAAAAAAATAAAAGGGGAGGGTAAAAATAAAGTTTGGCCTACAAACAATTAAACAAATATCAACAGACAAAAAAAATCAAACAGGAGGACGTGTGCAAAAATTATAACCACAAATATAAACAAGTACAAAAACCAAATATACAGACGAGAAAATGTGAACAAGGTTCACGAAAATGAAGAAAGAACAAAAATTTAAAGGACAACAGACAAGAAAGCAACAAATTACACAATAAAACTAATAGTTATAAACGGAAAAGAGAAAACGCAATACGTACGAAACAAAAAAAAAAGGTTACAATTTACAAAATGGCTGCCGCTAACGTTAAAAAAAGAGGAGGGACAGAGATTACAAAAATTAAAATAAAACACGTAGACTTTTTTTTTTTTTTTTTTAAACGGTAACACAGAAATAATTAACACGTAAAAATTAAAAAGGTCAAACGAGAAACGAAAAATAAACAGAAAAACTCCGGGTGTGGGTACTGAAAAAAAAAAAAACTCAGAACAGAAATAATTAATAACAAAAAAGTAACGGTTAAAAAGGGAAAAGGAAATGAAAAGGAAAACAAAAGGTCAAAATGAGAAAGTTCGAAAAATGACAAGTTTTAACAAAAGAGTCAAAAAAAATACGTTAGAAAAAATGGTGTATAATTAAATCAAAAACTTAACTAAATTAAGGCAGTCTGAAAAGTTGAAAAATAATCCTTTGGTAGACAGCAAATATGTCTAGCACCGGTCAGGAAAAAACGGTGTAAACGCTTAATCTCGACTATCTTCCCCGTCTTCCGGTACCAACCCATATTTATATGGTCGGTAGTCCGCTTATGTAAATTAGGTGTATCATACACAACATTAAGAAAGAAGAAAATGAAGAAGAAAAAGAAGAAAGAAGCTGGCTAAGGGAAAAGAAAGAAAAAATAACGAACTAGAATATATAGAAACAACCAAAATTTTCAAGGAGAAGAAGAGTGAAAGACATCCGAAAAAAAAAAAAAGAAAAAAAAAAAGAAAAAATATCAGGCATAAGGACCAGAAGAAAAGAGAAATAAAAAATGCCATAGGAGAAGAAAAAGCAGAAAGATTGAGAACACGAATAAAATGAAAAGAGAAGGAGTGAGAATGCATACAAAGAAGAAAAAGAGTCTTGAAATAAAAAAAAAAGTCTGTATGAGAAAAAAACAAACTAGAAGACAAAGAAAACGTGTATAAAAATATGGAAAAAAAAAGGGAAAACTGAGAACAAGTAACTGAAAATGTCACTTATAAAAAGAGAAAAAAAGAGACAGCGGTGTATTTATATCCGATGCCAAATGACGCCGTTATAACTAAGATACAAAAAAGAGGGGATTGCGAATACCATTTTAAAAGACAAGTAGTCATTCCTAATTTCAAACGCTACTACAATACAATCTTCTTATCCCAGAACCCTTTTTTGATCTAGTCTTGTACCGTACTTATCTAAGCTTAGTAAATAAATATATGCTTTGTTATGTTATACTGGTTAGAAAACTAGCTACAACTATATACCATCCTCATGGGGGATGCCCGCGTGTTGTTTTATGGTAGATTCATTTTATTTTTGATACTAAAGGTAATCCACTAAAAAGTTCCAGAGCCACTCAAGGTTGAAGCTTGATGTTAAAATGGTTATGATAAATGAGGTGTGTATTAAGAATGCAGGAAGTGGAAGGAAGTGAAATGTATGAGGATAATGAAGATAAAAAACGATCCACCCTTGACTTGAAGAGAGTAAGATTGAAGTGTTCAGGGAAGCTCAGTTTCGAGACTCCCTGTGCCATAATGCAGCAGTTCATGTGGAAAAAACTGTCTGCGTGAAACCTCCTTAAAAATGTACATATGAAATTACGCTGATTCGAATCTGTAGAAGTAGCATGGCATGTCGTAACAGTAAGTATCTGAACCGGTTGAAATAAAGAATGAAGCTCATCTAAACATTTGCCACGGAAAGAGTGACCGTGACGTTGCATCTGTGAGAAAGCGGTTGCAGGGTGGAAACTAAGTCCACCCCCGAAACAAGAAAGCATAATCTATTTTAAAATCTATCAAAGACGGGCTGAGTAACTCAAGCCCAGATATGGCAACAATGCTCCGTCTTTGGTCTAATTTGGCTCTTGTAATGATAAAGTAGAGCAAAATGAGTCAATACTGCCTGGAACGATAGGATCTTTTGCGAAGTGTTCCACGTGAGGTCTGGCGCGAACTTGAGACAAAATAGACGTTCAAAACATGAAGCTACGTTTCGAGTGTAAACGTTTATTTCGTTTGGAGAATACGTTTCCCGATAGGTGATGGTGAAACAGTGCTGTTTTTGAGCTATCGAAAGTTACAAGCAAGTTAACCCCCCCCGCCCCAGTTAAGCTGTAAGAACACGATCAGTAGCGAGATCAGAAGCAAGCCTCTTCTAAACTTGATTTTTGAAAATGCGTCTGTTTATAAGTGGTTAAGGTTTTTAAGCTGATCTTATGAAATATCCATAACGATAGTTCTGAAGTTGAGAAAAAAACAAAAATAATGGTACATCTTGCCTTCTACTTCTTCTATGTGCCATGTCCCTTCAGGGCGTGGACGATCATGGTACTCCACAACTTCCGATCCTTTGTAGTTTTTAGTAAGGTCTCTTTTGGCTGTCGCCCCTAATCCTGGTTCTATCAGCCATTTACGCTAGCTCTTTCCGTAGTTTTTTTGTTAAGAATATGTTGTTATATGTCAATCCTTAGTTCAGTCCGTGAGTTGAGTTAGGAAAAATATTTTATAACCTGATTCAGAAGAAAATATAAGCGACATCACAAAGACAATTTAACTTGGAAATACAGGGTGACCCAAAAAAACGGGAATTTTTGAAGTGCGTATTGCCAAACATGAGCAAGTGGCAACACTGCGAGACAGTAACCTTGAGCAAGTAAACATTTCGCCATTTAGAATTCAAGATGAAATTCACAGTATCCCAGCTGAGATGTTGCAGCAGTCAATGAGGAATCTCAACAGCAGATTTCAAGAATGCATTCGTACAGGAGGACGCCATTTACAGGACGTAATTTAAAAAAAATTAAAATTCCATCATTGTTTCTTAAATGGCATGTTTTAAGGTTTCAATTACCATGAATAAAATATTTTTCTTCCATCACTTGGTTTTATTGGATTGTTAAAAAGTTCCCGTTTTTTTTTTGGTCACCCTGTATAAACTGATACGCCATAACTCCTACTATGGACAGCGAAATACGAATAATGTATCCCAAGAGCTGAATACAGTATTCAAACGACAAACATTTAAAGAAGAAATGAGTCAAAAAGGAAAAGATACCTTCCAAAAGTTAGATTATGAAGAAATAGGAACATTTTGTTAGAAATAAAGAAAAGAGACCTGAAATGAGCAGAGCAAAATTAAGTTGGTGCAAAAATAATGTCGTTTTCTCTTTTGAAGTTAAACGTCAAAAAACGACATTATTTTTGCACCAACCTAATAATATAAATCCTCCTATATGGCAGTAAATGCGAAACAATTTCCTCGCAGATGAAGAAACATGAGGCAACAGAGAAATTGTTCTACAAGAAGAATGCTGATAGTACCACGCACGATGAAGTATTAAGGATATTAGGAACAAAAATGATGCATGTACTTAGAATCAGAAAAAGACAGTGAAATTTTCTGTAGCACATAATAAAGAAAGACGGCCTGGAGAATTAGATACTCAAAACATATTGAAAGCAAAAGACGCAGTTGGAAACGTCAATAAATGTGCTTGTTAGTTTGTGTAAACGAATGGGAGAATACGGATTGGGAGGGACAATATGGAAACAAATATTGATCCGAACAACAGGCTATAGGAAGTTGGGGAGAGGCATTATCACTCACGTTATGGAGGGACACAGCACATAAAAAAAAGAGCATGTCATTGTATAATAATGATAATTCTTCATCGCAATAACTGCGTTAAAAAATAAGGAACTTAAGTAAGAATAAGAAAAAGAAAGAACAGAAATGAATAAGATGCGGTATAAAACAAAGGAAAAACAAAGAAGCAACTGAAGGAAGAAAAAGAGGAGATAAAAAAGAAAATAGAGTAAGAAAAAAAGAGGAAGAAACTAAAGGAATAAAAATAGGAATAAAAGGAAAAAAAAATAAAAAAAACAGAGAAGAAACTGAAGGAAGAAAAAGAGCAAACAAAAGAAGGAAGAACATAAAGTAATAAAAAGAGATATAAAGGAAGAAAAAAAAAGAACGTGAAGGAAGAAAAAGAGGAAGAAACAGAAGGAATAACCTAAAGAAATAAAATGTGATATAAAAGAAGAAATAGAAAGAAAGAACTGAGGAAGAATGGGAGATAAAGAAGAAAAAGAGGAAGAAAAAGAAGGAAGAAGTGATGATGTTTAAATCAAATATGAAGGAAACGAATCTGACTATAACATTTTAGATCTTTAGAAAACTGATTTTTATATTCTTGCTTATTAAAGGGAGTACAGCAGTCACTCTTTATCCGGGAAGGATACATTCCAACACCTCATACGACTAGGAACGGGCGTTATTTTCAGCTAACTCTTATATGTAACTATGATAAATTTTAATTCATAAAATTGTCGTAACAATAGATTAACAAGAATGACTAATAATAAAATAGAACAAATTTACTTGGTTTGTTTTGTTTTACGGCATAACAACCTCAATGGGTTATTTAATGCCGACAAGATTTTTGGTAATATTTTTTTCCAAAACTGTATTGCTGGTAATATTTTTTCCTTCAAAAATGTATTCTTGTTAATATTTTAAAAAAATGTAATGCTGGTAATATTTTTCGTTAAAAAATATATTTCTGGTAATATTTTTTCCTTCAAAAACGTATTGCTTGTAATATTTTTTCCTTCAAAAATGTATTGCTGGTAATATTTCTTTTATAAAAATGTATTGCTGGTAATATTTCTTTTATAAAAACGTATTGCTGGTAATGTTTTTTTTCTCAAAAATGTACTGCTGGTAATATTTTTTTCTTCACAAATTCATTACCGGTAATAATATTTTAAAAAATGTATATGTTTTGCTGCTATCAAAAGCTATTTTTACACATTCATAGTGTTCTGACCCCAGTTTGGGGGTTAACTATTTGCCCATGGATGGGACCCTAACAAGTGCTACCACCCCGGATCAGAGTGGACCTGGGAATATCAGCAATTAAGAGGTGCTTCCACCCTCATCAAATCCTGATCAGAGGCTGTTGGATGTAGTTTATCGTCTTACCCAGGACGCCTCAATTTTTTTTTGGCGGGGTGGGGGTGGGGTCTCATCCCTCTGCAGAGGTGCAATCGGCGTATTCTGAAGCCGTAGCCGACAAGGCGGGAACAATTAAAGCACCATATAGTAATAAAAGTTATGCAGCATATAGAAGATGCCATCTTATCGTAGATCTTACAACTTCAACACCTAATTTTCTTTCTGTATGAATTTCTGGGATGAGTAATTATAATTCTTTACTTTTTTTAGATTTTGTTTCTTTTCGTAATCTTTGATGTTGTTCCCAAATCGTTTCGACTCTTGTATCCTCCGGTCATCTTTAGATGCTTGTCCATCCGTTTAAACTTCATGGAATTTCAAATTGAACCAATGAATCTATGAGAGTAGATTTTTCTCATTCCACTGTCCATGTTAAGGGATATCTCGTCTTGTTCTTTTGCAGTACTGCTCAGTCATTGCTCGACCTGTTTTCACTGGGTCTGAATCTGTACTACTCGATCAAGAAATCGAACTCATAATTACTATATCACTAAATGCAAAAATCATTAAGTAATGAAAAAGACAAGATATCCCTAGACATGGAGATCGGAACGATAACAATCTACGCCCGTAGAATAAATAAATTGTTCAATTTGAAATTTCCTGAAGGTTACAAGATCCGACAAGACCCTGAGTAAGACTGAAGGGCACAAGGGCCGGAACGCTGTGATAATAACAACAAAAATAAGGAAAATCGTCCGAATGTAAATATTTTTCTTTTGCTGTTAAGTTGAAAACTTTCGTCACGTTTCAATTAAAGGAAGCATTTTCACGGCTACACTTTGGCAGATACGAATTATTACTAACATAAATCTTGCGTTTCATTGTTTAGTCACATTTATGCACTGTGTATTTTAAGGCTAACTGTAGCCGCGTAAAAGGATGTTGACTGCAGTGTTTGAAGACGGAAAAAAAAATTAAAAAAAAGATAGATTGGTTTCGGTATTTGAAAGAATAAGCCTGAAAGCGACAACGAAATAGAGATAAAAGATAAGTGAAAGAGAAATAGGTGGTTCTCGCTTTGTGCTTTCTGTACGTGAATAGAAGTTAATCACGAAGAGATGAATCAAAATAAACGAGGAGAAAAAAAAAGCAAGAAAAAGAAGCAGATGTTTTCCTCAAGATGTTGGTGATGGTATTGTGATGATTGATGTGACGGGCACCTAAGCCAAAGCACCAATCTAAATACGACATCTATCTATTTCATATTGAACGGCGTTGATTGAGTATTTTTACGGGTTATCAACTCTTTGTCAATTATTAAAACCAAAACATATTTTGGAATGTAAGACAGATTTATGTTCCTTTCAAGTGAATATTGCATTAAAAATTCTTTTGAGAATAACAACGATGTCTCTAAATGCAAGACCGACTATTTAACCCGTAGTTGAGGATATAGATTCATACTATACCCAAGTCTATTTGCGCGTAAAAAACCTGACTGGAATTCGAACTTGGCTCTCCGGTATGGATCAGAGACAGGTTGGTTTATACATACATATATATATATATATATATATATATATATATATATATATATATATATATATGTGTGTGTGTGTGTGTGTGTGTGTGTGTGTGTGTGTGTGTGTGTGTGTGTGTGTGTGCATGTGTGTGTTTTTGAACAATACAGATACTGAGAAATTAAAAACTAAAATTTTCAGACACAGTGGGTTGTATATTAATATTTTTTGTTTTATTAATTCATTTATTTTTGTTTCATCATTTCAATATATATATATATATATATATATATATATATATATATATATATATATATATATATATATATATATATGCATGTTTCATTAAAAACGACAAAGTACTACGATTAAACACAGAGTTTGTAGAAACTGTCGTGACTCCATTCGAAACATACTTATTGAAAACATAAACATAATAATCTCATCCACTTGTAAAAAAAAAGATTAAAAATAATGGAAGCGCTAATAATAATAAAAAGAATAAGCCAACTCTTAATAATATTAATTACGAACTAGGCGACAATGTGCTAACCATGTTCGGAAAATAAAACATCTCAATAACACACAAAAACATACACATATCGCACACACTCAATTAGACTAAAAAAAGAAAATCATCCTTGATAATGGCTAAAAATGTAGCCGAAAGCGCACGGAACTATAGAACATTTGGACAGTTTCTAACGCTAGAAAAATTAAATAAAACCCTAACTTGTCTGCCTTTTTAATGAAACATGTATAAATGAAGGACAGTTTCTAAACACTCTGTGTAGAAAAAAGAAAGCTTTTGGTCGAACACAAGAAAGATTAAATAAAACCTTAACTGTAGTACCTTGTCTGCCTTTTTTTAATGAAACATGCATAAATGAAGGATTCCTGCCTAAATACACAATATATATATATATATATATATATATATATATAATTTGCATTACGTTATTTCAAAATTGAAAACTATATAAGATAACCTACCTTTGAAAAATAAAATGAAATATATATTTGAAAAAAATATCTGAATAAATAAATAAAAAATATCTGTCAATATCTCTAAGATGAGGAATTATGACTACTTGCATTATTTACATTATTCGGACTGTTATCCTCATCTTCAATGCCATAGGCACAACGTTTCGACAGTTGTACGTTCCAGCCTTCTTTAGATGATTGGTATTTCAAACCGAAACCTTTATTTCGTCCACCAGGGTAGATTATTCTAGATCAACGTACCATGCCTCTTCCCAATGTCTCAGTTATCCCCCTATAACTCAACTCTCCAAATTTTGGCCTGATATTGAACTCACAAGTCAGTGGATTTAATCACCCCAGGAGGGGGGGGACGAAATGAAGGGTTCGTAGCGAAGTTCCAATCACCCGAAGAAGGCCGAACCGTATAATGGCTGAAACGTTGTAAATATGACAATGAAGATAACAGTCCAAATAATGCAAATAATAAATAAAAATAATATTAACAAATTACATAACCACGACTGCACACAAGTAAAGGTAATAATAACCAACAACTAATTAAATAACCAACGAGAAACAATTAAAAAATAACACTATAAAATAGTTGCAAATAATCGCATTCATATACACAATTATTTCTACTCAATAGACTAAATTGAAACGTGGTCGTTACCGCTCACCCAATAAATGTTAAGATAATGCAATAGACCTTACTACCAACAATTGACCGGAATATATAAATATTCGAACCCAAAACACAGCACACATGGCATGAAGGTAGCGTTCACGCATTAAACAGACTGTTAACGCGTAGTGTTGACCTAATCGCCTACTTTTTTGAAAATACGTCATAGTAACAGCTATGAAGAACATTTTTCCCAGGTGCCACGAATACATGAATTTAAGCGTGCCATTATATTGGCATTTAGGTCCCATCCTTTTACTGTTGAAGTAGCTCAATACAACGGCCACTTCTCCTCTAACGGTGTCTTTTCTCGCACTTACCACCCGTGCATCTCCTTTCCATTTTCTTGCTTTCCTGTTAACTACAAAAATGTAAATACGACTTCAATCGTCATCTACCGCCATCTTGAACCCCGTTCATCACTTGTCTTTTCCTCAATCTTCCCTATTCTCAGTCTTCGCTTTCATTTTCACTTCCTGTAGATACTCTGCGTACTAGTGGAATTCTCGTTTGGCTTGGGGTGAAATGATTAAACACACACACGCATGCACACACACGCACAAACACACACACACACACACACATATATATATGTAATATAATATAGAAGGCTCAAACACTGATATTCCCGGATTATACCTTTTACATTGGAATCGGAATCACGATCCAACTAATCAGGCCTAAAAATTCAAAAAATTGCAAGTCTGATGAACTTCCATTGTAACAGATTATAATTATATATGGTATATTAGTGTATGAGCGTTTTATATTATATTCTTGCTTCGCTTGAGGGTGAAAAGGAACTAATGTTTTTAATTTAATTACAAAATTAAATTTGAAATTTTTAGCTTCCATTTTTGAAACATGGTTATTACTGTGTAGCGAAAAAAACGTATTTTAAATCAGTTAATTTATAATATTAATGCTCTGTAAATTTACATTGAACACTATTTTGTAAAAAATAAAAATATCAATAAGAACACCGGATTACATATCTTACTGTTCTTTCTTGTGATATATATATATATATATATATATATATATATATATTTTCTTATTTAAATATATATATATATATATATATATATATATATGTTTTCCGAGCACCCTGGCTGTCAACTAGGCCAATCCCTGTCGACGCGCCTGCTTGGGCACATGTTTTTTTTTGTTTTACAAATTAAACAGACAAAAACTTGAATAACTCAATGAAACAGACAAAAAAAAAAAAAAAAAAAAAACGTCCGCGGTGATTTCCCACATGACAACGCTTATCTTCTTGTAAATGCAACATGGCAGACGACTATAGAGATGAAAGGGGAAGTTCTTTCACATGTGGCGTTTTCTCCAGAGTTCATGAATAATGCCGCTGTGAATAGATATGAATCCGATATTTACTTCTTTTTTTTTCTTTTACAGTGATGTTCATACTGTACAAGTGTCCGGGAGACTCTCGTGTTAAAGAGTTATGCATATTGTGCGGATATATTTTGAGAATATGACAATTAACACTAATCTTGAACTCGTTAAGATGGTAGCAATCTGGGAAATATCACCTTGGGAGTTGAATCCACAGAGCAGTTGATCGTCGGAAGAAACTGCTTGGGCACATGTGGAACTTACATTTCACAAGTGGAATACGAAAGGAATGAGGATGGTTCGCTACAATGAGCGTAGCATGGCGGGTCCTAGCCATTAATGTTAGAACTGGTGGTATTAAGGAATGTAGCTCGTCTGAGCACTTTCCACAGAAGTAACGATAGAGCAGTGAGAAGTTTGCGACATTTTCTCTGTCAAAAAAAAAGGGTTTTACAAGGTGGAAAATAATGTAAAAGTTGAAGAAAAACAAACATTGAAAAATTTACATATATTTTCCATTGTACGATGATTTATTGAAAATTGTTCTTCTCTAGGGCAAACCATCGTCAAGCAATTCAGCTTCATTTGATTTTATACGTCTTATAATGATTTTATACGTCTATCACCAGCATTTTATACGTATCATATGGCTTTTATAGCAATGGTTTTTTTTCCGGCATTATCAGGATTTTATAAGACATTCCGATTTATATGTCTTAAATGATTTTATAGGCCAATAAATTAAACACGGACATCTAAAATACAAGATTAAGCGATTTAGGAACATTTGTAAGGCACATTCAGTTAACAATAAGTTTCGTTTCTTCCTTCTTTTACGATTATTTTATGTTCGAACTAGATATTATTTATTCATTATATCAGATTTTATTATGTAAATCAATGTTTCCATAATAAAAGCAAAAAATATGTAGGGTGTATTTCTCTTTATAAGAGCAATATATTGTACGAGTTTGAATTTATAATATCTGTATTAAAAACAAATATTTAATAACTAGTTAATTTTAGGAGTGCAAGATTTTACTATGTGAAAAACATCTGGCTAAACTTTTATTTATTATATTGGGTTGAGTTTATCGAATTTATTCTTAAAAACAAGTAAAGTACAATCATATTCTTTTTCAGTTATGTACTCACGATTATCTGCAATGACTTGTTGCCACTTAAACAGGTGATACCTTGTGAGTAAACTTCAGGTTTTAATGGGAATATTTTTTCAACTGACTCTTGAATCTGGTATTTATTAAAAAAATTCACCCATCTATACATTTTAAGGAGATCGAAAAATGTAATAATCTCTTGGTGCAAAAGTCGGGTGAATATGTCGGCTGGAGTATAACAGACCAACTGAGTTTCGCAATGTTTTCTGGTGTTATTCTTGCTCTGTGCAGCCTTACGTTGTCTTAGAGGAGAGCAACATTTTTCTTTAATCCACTGTGTACACTGCCGTT